ATTGCATTACTTCAACCAAAAGACAGAACAAAGACAAAGACAAATACTAACTTGAAAATCGCAACGAGAGAATAGCAACGCGAAATGAAAATCGCAACGACAGAATCGTAACGCGAAATGAAATCTAAGTGAAATGGTTAATCTATTATTGAAATGACCAGTAAACTTATCATCAGTTTCAATATGAAAAACCTACAATAATGCAAACATTTCAAAATAAAAATAATTAAAAAAACTAACCCTCGGAGGTTGATTTTCCATTTCTGAATATTGTGAGGGATTTCTGACCGTGAATGGTTGTGAGGGATTTCGCCGGAGATGGGGACGGAAATCTTCGGAGATGGGGACGGATTTCTTCGCCGTAGAGAGTGAGAGATGGAGATGGGACTGAGTTGTGATTTTAGGTTTTAGGTTATGAGTTGCGATTACGGGATTTTGTCTTAATATTCTTTTTGTAATTTGAAAATAAAATACGCGTAGCGATTATAATGGCGCTTTAAATATCGCGTTGCGATTTACGGATACGCGTTGCGATTTTATGTATTATCGTTGCGATTTACGGATACGCGTTGCGATATACGGATACGCATTGCGATTTACCCATACGCGTTGCGATTTACGGATACACGTTGCGATTTACGGATACGCGTTGCGATTTATGTGTTCGCGTTGCGATTTTCATATTCGCGTTGCGATTATTGAAAATCGCAATGCGAATTTGTACTATCGCATCGCGATTTTCAAGAATCGCGTTGCGATTTTGGAAACTGATTTGCGATTCTGGGGATCGCGTTGCGATTTTTATTTCGCGTTGCGATTTTGTTGGTCATTTTGGCAAATCCAAAAAAAGTTGGTTAAAATCGTATATTATAACTTTTTTTTGGTCACTGAGGCGATTTTCTCTAATATTTAAGGTAAAACATATTAAATAATAAATATAATTATATAACTATAATTAAAAAATAAATTTGGGATTAAGAAAATCATAACAAAATGATATTGTTTGGTTTAATTTTTTTTAAAAAAAACAATCTCACATGGTTAAGAAACATATAAGAGCATCTCAAAAGTCTAAAGAGTAAAAATATGAGAACAAAACAATCTCACATTGCTAAGAAATATAGAAGCGCATCACAACTAACTTCTATAAATAATATAGGTAATTTGGCATTCAAAATCATGGAGCCTTTTGTCGAGCATTGAGTGAACTATTATTTAACTTCAATCAAGCTCGAATTTTAGGCTTCAATCGAGCTTCTAATTTTTTTTGAGTTAAGTCTTTTTGAGTTCAAATTTCAATATTATATTTCGAGTTTGAGTTGAACTTGATAATTTTTAGCTTGTGAGTTTGAGTTGAGTTGAGCTTACTTTTAAAGTTTTCAAGTTCGAGTCGAGCTCAGCAATACTCGAGTTCGATTTGGCTCGTTTAACAAACGACGTTGTTTGGTTTAATTTTTTTTTTTAAATAAATAAATAATATCGGTTTTTTTTGTTTTTTCTGGTTTTCAGCCGGTCTGGTTCGAACGGTTTAGTGATTCTGGCCGGTTCACTAATAGCGATTCAACCGGTTTAGATTGAACCGGACTAAGTAACGGTTCCCGGTTGAACCGATTAAACCGATCCGATTTTCAAAACAGAGAATATTCAAGTAGTTTTGGATTTGACTTTGTTTGTCTTTTTCGATCACGGTGAATTTCAAAATCTAAAAATATGTATAATTAATTTACTAATAAATGTAAAGTTTTATATAACTAATTTATTTTTGAAAAAATATATATTAACCCACACTTCTTTATTAATCTTTAAAAATCTCTTTATAATTTTATTTAGTTTTTTTAACTGTACTATTCTTTTCTTCTAACTATTTTATTCTTTATATAAAAGGAAAATTAGAGATTTTCAAGATCGGGGACTTATAATCTAATATTGATCAAGATTAAAGTCAAGTTTAGTTGATTTTAAGTTGCTCTTTTACTTAATTAACGCTCATTTTTGTCTATATTTTTTGTTAAATATAATTTCGATAAATGTGATATCTAACTTTTTTTTAGTTAAATACCTAATTTTTTAATGATATAATTATCTAACTTTTTAAATTATATATATTTAATTCTTATTGATTCATAGTTATAATTTTAATAATATTTAATTAAATATATAATATACGTTGTAGATTAAAAGTTAGATGTTAAAACTTTAAATATGAAAATATGTAATTAAGAAATTATGAAATATTAAATTATGTTCAAAAGTAAAAATTGAATATCCAATTACATCATTAAAAAATGAAGTACCTAATCACAACATCAATGGCATCAAATAAATTAAGGTCGTATTTGCTCAAATGCCCCAAAACTATTTTTAACCTATTTTCAATGAGTAACAATTTATAGTACCATTATAAAAGTTGGAACTAAATTAGATACCATTTGATAAGACGACAATTGACACCAACTCGAATAATAAAAAATAAATAAAATATTACTTTTTAAATCTAATAAATGATATAACAAATATATTATGTATCGATAATCTCTAGATCAGATGTTTATTTAACTTTCAACTGATATTTCTTTTTTAGATTATGAATATACCATTCATTAAGAACATCTCCCTTTCTAAATATATATTATTATCCCTCTTCCACCTAACTCAAATCAAACCAGAGTGCTAAATCACTGGCCGTTGTGTGTTTTTACGACTCAAACCGCACATTAGAAACAGATGCTCGTGTCCACGTATGACGATAACACCAACAACTTAGGTGCTTATGAAATTGAGAAGACGATGGCCAAAGACAAAAGTCCTAGGTTGTTTTCTCTCGTGTAAGACTCAGAAATACAGTATATGACTTGCGTCAATTATGTGAATCAACTAACCGTCAACTGACATTTTTAGGATTATTTTAATATACTAAATATTTCATTAGTGGGGAAAGACCCTGGGGGGTGAGACCAAATCCAAAATTTCCAAATACTGGTCGGGGTAAGTTGGGGACAGCCTATCTTAAACGATCTTTGAAAATTATTCAAAAAGTAGGTAGGCCCCTTGTCTTCACACTCATCCTCCACTTACACTATACTACGTGGCTGTCTTTCACATTAACAATCCACCCATCTTAGCTCACTATTTTCTAAGGTAAATTATTTATTTAGTTAATGATCTATCATTTAATTTTTTATCTTTTATCACTCAAGTTTTTTTATAATAATATATAATATTACGTTTTAATTTTATATAAATTATTTGTATTTAAAAATGAATAGTGACGCTAACATGATATTTTTTATCTGTTAATGTTGATTTGGTATTATCTTATAATAATATTTTAGTGTCACTGTTAATTTTTAACACGTGTTATCAAAACATAGTCAAAACGTATATTATATATGATTTTGAAAATTAATAATAATTAAATGACTAAAATAAAAACCAAGTAATAAGTTAATGACTAAAAAATAGTTTGCCTTTTTTCATTTTGAATGAATTTTTTACATTAATGTATATGTTTATTACAAAGGTATGTTTATTACAAAGGAAATGAAATTATAAACATTTCGTTTAACAAATCAATCGACTTAAGTGATTAAAGATATAATTGTTATCATTGAAAGTTTTAGGTTCGAACACCAATAATTATAAGATATTAAACATTTATTGTTAAATAATTAAAAATCTTTAAAACATGTATTACTATTTGTAACCACTCTAAATTAATAAAAAAAAATCTATGTATTAAAAGTATGATTACAAGAGAAATTAAATCATGAAATTGACTTACAAACTTAACGTTAAACTGTATTGGAAAATGTTTTTAACTTTAAAACTATTATAAATCCAATATAAATATTTCATTGAACCTTAAAATATTTGGAATAAATATTTTTAAAATAAAAAAATTAATGCGTTTCTAACGAGTAATGGGATAGGCCATAAATATTAGGGCAAATTAGGAGTTTAGTACATAAATTATCGGTTTTAGTCTATTTTAATATTTAAACTTTTTATTTTTAAAAAATCATACCTAATTTTTTTCATTTTAGTACAATTGTTCAAAATTAAACGTTAAATTAAAAAAAATAAAAAATTAGGTACTAAAATAGATCAAAATTTATAGTTTAGATACTAAGTGTTTTAATTTTTTAATGGCGATATATTAAAATGAAATAAAAAAATAAATATTAAGTATGATTCTGAAAACAACTGAAAGTTTAGGTGTTAAAACAGGCTAAAATTAATAGTTTAGGTATTAAATGCGTAATTTTTCTTAAATATTATTCAATTCCGTTACGTGACGTAACACAGTAGCGTGCGAGAGATTATCCAATCATATCCGACCATCAGACAATCTGTCTTTCACCCTCACGTCACGCTATCACCACTCAGTCACCAACGCTAAAGATCAGAAACGCTCATAATTAAAATATATGTTAATATATTAAAAAATGGTGAAAGAACAAGCAAGAAAAGAACAAAAAGAAAGACCAGTCCACACTCTTCGGTGGCAAAACCGTGAATAAGAAAACAAGCCAAGGGCAATATCTATGATGTTCACTCTTTATTTGTGAAAAAAAGAAAAAAAGCAAGTTACCAGCAAATAAAATGTCGAAGGCTACTACTGTCTATACCTCCTTGGATGCAATATATTTATTAATCAAATTTTAATTTTTTTTAAAATTTTTAAATTTTAAATTCAAAATATCAGCTTTAAAAGAATTACGGACTCATTTAATAAAAAATAGCATAACTTTAAAAAAGGTGGGCCCGCCAACGCCAACTTTCCAGCTTTAACTGGAAGACACAAATTAATATTTTAGGAAAGTATTAACTTTACTTTTTCTCCTTATTTTATTTCACACTTCTCTTTTGACCAAATTACTATTTTACCCCATTTTCAATTCAATTTCCCCCTCAACCGGACGTCAAATTCCTTCTTAACCAAAATTTATATATCGGGATTATCAATTTTACCTACTAATTAATATTTATGTTACATCTTATTAAAATATTTTTATTTTTCAATTTTTTTTCTTTTTTTTTCCTGTGTGTTATCTCTGTGTAAAAAAGTACCTGTTCAGACAGGGAAAATAAAAGAACCGGCCAGCGATTTTCTGAAACCCAGTGTTTTTTTTGTTTTTATAAACTTCGGGGATCAGTTTCTTTTTTTATTTAAAAAAAAAGAAAATTTTGTTTGGTTGGATAGAAAAAGCTTTTGAAGTACTTTGATACAGGAAGATGTGAACAGGTTCGAGAGGAACAGTGTCAGTGAAGAGTTTTTTTCTTTCTTTCTGGGTAGTGTACTTGAAAGTTATACAGGTCATGATCTCAACATTTAACATTAAATTTATTTTTGCCGTAAAAATGAAGAAAAAAAACTTCTTTAATGATTTTCTTTTTTTTCCCATTCATATGAAAATTGATTTTTTCCTCTTTAAAAATATTGATTGGGTTACAGTTAAATCTCTTTTTTTTTTACAGTTTTTTTCTTTTAAAGTTAAGCTTCGGTGGGTTGAGTGTTTTTATGCTTAGCTATCAGTTGTTTTTTTTCCAGGTTGATTGTGTAATTATTTCTTTCACATTAAAATTTCAATTTGTGTTAAGGGACTATGATCATACTAAACTGAAAGCTGATCATTTTTTTATTTGTTTTTAAATTGAGGATCTTGTATGATGGGGCAAAATCTCAAAGTATCTATTTTTAAAAACTTTAGCTTCCTGTTTTACTCACTGTTTGTGTGTGTGTGTGTGTGTGAAGTTTAATGTATTTCGGAGTTGTAGTGATCTTGTTTCAGCTGCAAGTGAAATAGAAACTATGAGGACATTGTATAGATTGATTGTTTTCTGGTTTTTGATTGGTGGATTTCTGTTTCATAGGTGAGACTAGCTTGGAGTTTCTGTTAAGTATAATTTAATATTTGCATGGAGACAAATCCGGGTGTTACAGTGATCGGAGCAGAAGCTCCGTCGGCTTATCAAATGGCACCGAGGACCGAAAATGCCAACCAGATTGGTGGTGGCGGCTCGACAGCAGTGGATGTTTCACCAGTTAGTGTTGGGTTAACTGGTAGCATAGAAAAGAAAAAGAGAGGTAGACCTAGGAAATACGGGCCGGGCGGGACAATGGCGAGGGCATTGTCGCCGATGCCGATTTCCTCGTCTGTCCCGCCCGGCGCAGGCGATTTCTCGAGTGGTGGTGGAGGGAAGCGTGGGAGAAGTCGAGGTAGCGGTTACCAGATTAAACATCACAAGGGAATGGACATGGAGAATTTAGGTAATAAGCCCTTTTAGCATGCTGTTGTCTTTGTTCAAATTCGATTTAGTTATAGATTTGGTTGCGGGCATTAATGTTTCTGGTTCGAAACTAAGAGCAATTAGTCATGCACTAGTGTCGAAAATCGGAACACTACAAGAGATTCTACATGTGAAGTTGATAATACTTGTTGAACCTTTTGTGGGACCTTATATGAGATGCCGTTGTTCAGATCTGAAAGGATATTTCTGGTTTCTGAGAATGAAAAAGTGGCCCTTTTGTGTCTGTATGGGGCTGAGGAATATTCTTCGAGCGTCTTAGATTTCTTTTCATCAATTATTTTTCGAGATTCGCCAGTAGGAACAAAATGAATCTTGTTAAAGCAGCAAGATCGACTGATTAGTAATGTCCAGTTTAAAGGGCTTTGTTCTGATCATACTAAATCCCAACCATGTAGTAGATGACAAACGGGGTAATGTGTATGTTTGACAGCGAAATTCATTTTGCTTTTTATAGGTGAATGGGCTGCTACTTCGGTCGGGACAAATTTTACGCCTCATGTAATCACGGTCAACGCTGGTGAGGTATGTTTCGATATGGGAAAGAGAGAGGAGCATAGAACATTCTCGTGCTTCATTTTCTATCATTATCAAATACTTGTATAGGATCTCTGCTAGATCCATTCTTTTTCTAAAACCTTGGAGCGTGGTCGCATATGACGACTGCAGGGGAGAATTTATTGATCTCTTCGGTGCTGTCTACGTTTTTCCTTACTTGATTATTCGATTTTTGTGGTGTTTTAAGGATGTTACGATGAAGGTGATTTCCTTTTCTCAACAAGGACCGAGAGCTATCTGCATCCTATCAGCTAATGGAGTAATTTCTAATGTTACACTTCGGCAGCCTGATTCTTCGGGGGGCACTCTAACATATGAGGTTTGGCAATTTTGAAATCGCTATACATTTTGATTTTTCCTGAGTTTCCAGTAATATTTAGATGTGTTAAAACAGGATTTATTTTTCATGACATGAATTTCTTACACTGTTTTGAGTTTCTGATCCTTTATAGAAAACCTCATCTGTCATGTTTTCTCGTAGGGTCGGTTTGAGATACTTTCCTTGTCCGGATCCTTCATGCCTACGGAAACTCAAGGAACAAGAAATCGATCCGGAGGGATGAGTGTGTCTTTGGCAAGCGCTGATGGTCGTGTTGTAGGGGGAGGAGTTGCTGGACTTCTGATAGCTGCCAGTCCTGTACAGGTAAAGCCCTTTAGTGCTGAGTTTTCCATCCGATTAGAAGCAATAAAATGTTTAATGAGATTGTCGATTGGCCCTTCTACCAGTAGTGTGGGAAAGTATGAACATCTAGTCACACATTGCCTAATCTTTTGTTGAATTATCAGGTTGTGGTGGGGAGCTTTTTACCGGGAAACCAGAACGACCAAAAGTCGAAGAAGCAGAAAATCGAGTCCATACCGGCCACTGTTGCACCAAACCCGAGCATCGTTGCCGCACAGGATTCAAATGCGGAAAAAGAGGATGGCATGGATGTAGTTTTGTCGCAACAAAATTTGAATGCCCTGAAACCAAACCTCACCACTGCTACCTTCCGGAGAGAAAATTGGGCGACCGCCATGCAGGAGCCAAGGAATTCGGCAACCGATATCAACATTTCTTTGCCTGCAGGTTAATCCGATAAAACCAGAATCGATCATCCCGGACTTAGGAAGCTGACTAGATTAAAAATTCCTGATATTTCTTTCATCAGAGAGTACGGAGTGCCATCTGTGGTTGAATGTTTTTATGTAGGATAAAGTAGGGATAACATTACTGATATCCAACTAGGTGTTTAATGTCTCAGCCTCAGGCAAAGACATCCCTTGTCCCCCCCCCTTCTTCTCACCTGATTGATGAATTTATTGATGAGAACTGCACTGGATCTCTAAACATCTCCAAATTATGGAGTATTAATGAATTTTTCATCAGTTCTATCTGCTCTGGTTTCATTGATCATTAAGATTTATCGGATACAGTGATATGATGCATTTTGATTATGGTTGAGCAACCACCAAAATTTCGTTTGTTAAGCAACTAAAAAAGACATGAATTTTCAATATTTTATTTGTAACATGATATAGCTGAGTACGTAACCGAGCCACTTTATCAACCAACAAAAGTTAAAATAATTGAAAAACATTGATCTTAATCATTAGAAAATTATACGGTTTTGATTTCCTATGATCACATTCTCATTTGAAAATAAGAAAGCGCGATCCAAACCAACTATGAGAAATTGAAGTTAAGGTTTTGTTGTTAGGATATATATATGCATTACTATTTGCTATCACTAAGAATCTAACTGTTTTAACTTCCCCATTGACAAATGTTAGACAGAAGTTTGCAGGAAAACTGACAAATGTATATAGGGTAAGTTACACTAACGGTCACTAATGTTCTTTTTTTCAATAGCAATGTTGAGAGTTCGGATTTTGATGTAAAAAGTAAATTAAACGAGAGGAAAAAAGGCATAGAGATACGCCAGAACGTCAACGACGTATAACGTTTTCTGTCCTTGCATAAATTCGAATTTGTAAAGGACCATTTTGTAATTTAGTGAAACTTACTGACCTAGGCGGGAAGAAGAAAGAAATGGACTAGAAATGGTCAACAATTTTCACGCTGTATATAGACCCACTTCCCCGCATACGCTTCTTTCAAATTCCAAGCTTACGCCACAAGCTTCTCACTCTCTGTATCTTCCTGGTCGGCCTGGCTAGCTCACTCGCATTTCAATGGCTCGAAACAAGGTGAAATTCCACCACTTTGATTCTCTTTCAAACATTTCTTACTATTGTCAGGGTTCCCTCCTTTTCCCCTTCCAAATTCAACAATTGCATGTTAATACTTTTTGCACTCACTCCTTATTCGTTCGCTATGATTTTCATGTAGTTTTTGACTTGTTTCAACCGATTTTTTTCTGTTCATTTGATTAGGGTTTAGGGTTTTAATTTTTTTTCCTGTAATTGAATTGATAATTATTTTGGAACAGGAGAAATTAGTGTTATTGCTTGATGTCGGTCCATCAATGCACGGTGTTCTTCCAGAAGTTGGAAAGCTCTGCTCCATGTTAGTGGAGAAGAAGGTACTGCTTTCAATGAATGTACACTCACAGTCTTTCTGCTAATATTATGATATTTTCTACTTTCATTAAATATGGTAGCAAAAAATTTAAGGAAAATATATTTCTGATTGCCTTTTGTGTACGCAGCTTATTGTCAGCAAATATGATGAAGTGGGAGTGGTGGCATTCGGAACCGAAGGGTGACTCCTTTGTTTTGTGATGAATCCTAGCAACTTTTGGGATTAATTTTGACCAATTAATGGCTGCCTCCATATCAATGATTTTTAAGCTTTGTGAATCTTTAATCAAATATCAGTGTTGCATTATTTTAATGATGTTCCCCGTAAATAACAGAAACTAACAACGACCTTACAACGGAAGTGGGTGGTTATGAAAATATTACGTTGTTGCAAGATATCAAAGTTGTTGATGGCGATATTATTGACACTCTACAGAAATTGCCTCGTGGGACTTTAGATGGTGATTGTATCCCTTAATTTTCTGGATATTTTGTTAAGATAGTCTAATCTGAAAAGTATGATGTTTACCTTCATTCCATTGAGAGTTCTCATGCAAATCTTCTGGCAATATTTTTGGATAGGATTATTACTATTATTATTGTTGTTGCTGTTATATGAAGTTGAGGGATTTTTTCTCTGATAAAAAAATTTGCAAGACTTTGGTATTTTTTAAAATATTATTAATTGCTTTTAATTCTCTGTGTTTATTATTACTATTGTTACTATTTCGTGACTTCAAGAATCAAGTCAATTTTGTTGTTGTTGTTGTTGTTGTTGTTATTATTATAGATCATTATGCTTTTAAGTTTTCAATTGGCATATATTGCTGAAAGACAGTTGTTTTAGGAAAAAAATACTATTTAAGCAGGCTGTTTTTCTTCTCATGGCTGCATATTTGGTTCCTTAACTTTGGTAGTTCTTGATGCAATTGTTGTTGGGATGGATATGCTGATAAAGAAATATAAAGATACATTCAAAGGAAATAAGCGTCTGTGCCTTATTACTAATGCCATTAATCCTATAAAGGACTCTTTGGAAGGAAGCAAAGAAGGTCAGGTCGCTACCATTGCAGACCAGATGACTGCACAAGACATGAAAATGGAAAGTATTGTTGTGAGGGAAAGTTAAGTCAGGATGCAGATAAAAGAATAATGGACGAGAATGATCATCTCTTGAGTATATTTTCAAAGAAAACCTGTACACGGAATGTGTGTGTTGATAGTCCAACTTCATTACTGGGAGCACTTAAAACGGAAGAGTAACTCCTGTAACAATTTTCAGAGGTCATCTTGAGCTCAGTCCTCAGATGAAAATTAAGGTTAGACAATTAATGTCAAACATATACTCTTGAAGTAATTACATTCTTTTACTTATCTCTCCCCCTTCTCTTCCTGCGCCACTGCTTTTGACTTTATTTATTTATTTTATTTTCAGTTTAGGAAAAACTAATTATATGGATCCACTAGAGTGAAACTTTTTTTAACAGTTCCTCTGATATTTGTATTTGACTACCTTGTTCATTAATGATAGATGACGTCAAATATCATTTAACAACATTATAGTTGCTTTTAACATTTACTTCCGGGACATTTTGTGGCAGCAAGCATTATACTCTATGTGATGCCCATATGCATGGATACAAAGAGAGATGCTTGTTCCATTGAGTATAAGTAGGTGTTTTTTTGTGTGGAAATAGAACCATGCTTATCAGCATTGAGGTTCCCTGCATGGATACTCTATGTGAAACATTCTACTTGATGCTACACATTTGCTTGTACACCGAGTGGCGATCCAAGTTGCTATAGATGGATGATGAATTCTACTTGATGCTACACATTTTCTTGTACACCAAGTGGCGATCCAAGTTGCTATAGATGGATGATTGTCATCTTAATTTGCATCCCTTTGTGAGAACATCCGTTGTTTTGAGACTCGCTATGCTATTTCATCCTCCTTTGTTTAGGTTCCCTGCTTGCAGCTAATGGGCTGCATGGAGTGATGCCTCAATGGGTCATCATGATTCAATGGTGTTGTTGAGACAATAAATTAACATACCATATTGTGGTGTTAGGATTTTCTTCATGTTTGGTTCTCATTAGCTTTTGTGAAAAAGAATTCTGATATATAAATATATGACACTTAAGTATGGGTTTATAAAAGAACACAAGAAGAGAAGTTTCCCACTCTGAAGAAATACTCAGAAAAAGCACCTGCGACTAATAAGTTTGCAACACATCAAGTCAAGGTCGATTATGAGTATAAAAGTGTTGGCGACTCCAGTACTATGGTTATACCCCCAGAGCAAAGGATTAAAGGCCACCGTTACGGACCTCAAGTAGTTCCTATTTCAACTGCTGAATGGGATGCTGTCAAGTTCAAACCAGAAAAGGGTGTAAAGCTACTAGCATTTACTGATGCTTCAAAAATAAAACGGTAAGTTGCTTTATCTGAGATAAGTATATGTATATTCTGATTAAATTTGTTTCGAATGATTTTTTATACCATTTTTTATCCATGTCCTGCCTGGCAATTAACTGAAGACACTGCTTCATGAAAGATGTATGTCTTTTTATTGCTGAACCGGGCAATACAAGAGCCATTGTTGCAGTTTCTGCCATAGCAAGAGCAATGAAGGAAATAAATACGGTTGCAATCTTGCGATGTGTTTCGAGATAAGGACAGCAAAATGTTGTTTTGGGGGTCTTGACACCAAACATTTCACGAAATGATAAAATTGTAGGATTTTATTTCCTCTTCACTTAATCCTTCACTTGAATTTGTTACATACACATTCATGCTTCTACCCTTGTGAAACTTGTGATGCTCTCTGATTTTCCTATGCAGCCTGAATCATTTTATTTCAATTTTCTTCCTTTCACCGAGGACGTTCGTGAATATCTGTTCCCCTCTTTCAACAGTTTTCCAGCTTCATCGAAACCTAATGAACAGCAGCAAAAAGCAGCTGATGAATTGGTGCAGATGCTTGATCTTGCCCCATCAGGCAAAGAAGAATCATTGTTGCCTGAGTTCACCCCAAATCCTGTTCTGGAGGTACTTAAATATGCTTGTATTTTGTGTTTACTGCACAGCATGTGATTCTGATTTTTGTATCCTATGCTTGGTGGAATCTTTTATCACGTTACTTGTGCTTTGCTTTCTGCAACGTGAAAAACTGAATAATTACCTGTGATGCCTCCAAGTGACTATATGTTGGCTTGTTAATGCAAATCCCCTCCCCCAATGCACATTTGAATTATATGTTGTTTAGAGAAAGGGAAAGTATATGTGAACTACTAGAGTGAAACCCCAAATGCACATTTGAATTATTGTGTGGTTAGAGATCCTAGAAGCTGGCTGAAGGCCTGCCAAAGGTGATAGGGGTTTGAAGTTATTCATATTGGAGTCAGGAATAAGTAACACTTAAAATGCCTTCATTGTTTCTCTAATATTATTATGTGTTTTTAGCGTTTTTATCATCATCTAGAGTTGAAAGCAAAGCAACCAGATGCAGCTGTGCCTCCACTTGATGAAACACTAAAGAAGATCACTG